TCTGACGCCCGTCGTGCTGCTAGTTTATCATTCCTGCCTATTCATTCTGACAGCAGAACCGTGGAGTAGTGGGCAAGGACTGGACCCCCGGAGGGGTCCGCCAGGGAGACTGGAACTGGCCGACTAAGCGGCGTGAGTGTGGTGCAGTCGCGAAAGAAGGAGCGAGAAGCTCCTGAGTCAAGGGTGAAGGTGTGCGAGACCGTAGTTGGCGCAGTACCAGAGAGAGCAGACTCACCAGCACCTGAAGCCACGGCCTCACCAGTACCTAGAGCAGTAGACGTACTAGCACCGAGAGCAGCAGCCTCACCAGCACCTAGAGCAGGAGACGCACTAGCACCTAGAGCAGCAGCCTCACCAGGGTCAGGCGGTACGCACAGATAACAGGCACGATCAGCACTAGTAGGCAATGCATACATGGCAGTGAGAATAGCATCATAGTCAAGCGCAAAGATATCTACCCTCTGTCCATGCAGCTCCAGCCAGGTGGGGAGCTCAGCCTCGTCGCCAAACACTGTGCGCCAGTCGTCGCTCAGACGAGCGAAGCAGCGGGACTGTGTGTGACCAAGCGTCCCACAAGGCTGACCAGTCCTAGCACCTGTGCGAATGACGTACGGGCAGCGAACTGTACGCGTAGACCTGCTACACTGAGCGTACCACTCCTGGAGCTGCCGGGGCGTAAGTGTCTCACGTGGACGCCCCTGCAGCTGTAGCTGGCCACTGCCAGACGCTCCCAACTGACCAGCTCCAGGGCGACAGCTACGACGGCTACTGCGACAACCCCAGCTAGTATACCACTCACTAAGCTGCTGGGGCGTCAGAGGCTCGCGTGAACGTCGCTGGAGCTGCATCTGGCCACCTGCCAGTAGCAGTAGCAGCAGCAGTAGCGCGGGCAAGGCAGGCGCGGCAGGCAGGCAGGCAAGCAGGCAGGCAGGCAGGCAGGCAGGCAAGCAGACAGACAGGCAGGCCGGCAGGCAGGCAGGCAGTCGCGCAGGCAGGCAGGCAGACAGGCAGGCCGGCAGGCAGGCAGGCAGGCGCTCACCAAAGGCTGGGAGAGCAGGCGCTCACCGGGCGAGCAGGGCCGGCGCTCGACGGGCGGCGGCCGAGTAGGCGCACGACAGCGGCGGCGTCGGGGCCGCAAAACCGGCTGCAGAGCAGGGCCGAAGCAGCTGCAGGGCGGGGCCGCTTCAGCGGCAGTAGCAGGGTGGGGCCGCGTCAGCGGCAGGTCGGGGCCGTGGCAGCTGCAGAGCGGGGCCGCATCAGCGGCAGGTCGGGGCCGTGGTAGCTGCAGGGCGGGGCCGCATCAGCGGCAGGTCGTGGCCGAGGCAGAGGGCCGCGCGCGGCTCGGCGCGGGCTGCGCTGACAGCGCGCTGAGCTGCTGCAGGCCGCGCGCGGCCGCGCTAGGTAGTAGCGGGCCGCGCGCGGCTCGGCGCGGGCTGTTGCGGGCCGCGCGCGGGCCGTGCGAGGCAGTAGCAGGCCGCGCGCGGCTCGGCGCGGGCTGCTGCGGGCCGCGCGCGGGCCTCGCGAGGCCGTAGCAGGCCGCGCGCGGCTCGACGCGGGCTGCGCGCGGCAGCTGCGGGCTGCGCGCGGCTGCAGCGGGCTGTGCGCGGCTCGGTGCGGGCTGCGCGCGGCTGCAGCGGGCTGTGCGCGGCTCGGCGCGGGCTGCGTGGGCTCTGTGCGGGCTGCGCGCGGCTGCAGCGGGCTGCGCGCGGCTCGGCGCGGGCTGCGCGGGCTCTGTGCGGGCTGCGCGCGGCTGCAGCAGGCTGCGCGGGCCTTACGGGCCTCTAGGGGCGGCGCGTGGGCCTTACGGGCCTCTAGGGGCAGCGCGCTGGCCTAGGGCAGCAGGAGGCAGCGCTAGGGCTGCTGGACGGCGCACATAGTGCAGCACGTCACAAGGCAAGGCAAGGCAGGCAGGTACGTGGGGTAGCGCGGTAACCGCAGCGGTAGGTGGGCCCGAAAAAAAACGGTCCTACGGACCTTAGTGCTCTGAAACCATGTCAGAATCTAGCAGCAGGAATGAATGAACTAGCAGCATGCAGGAGTACAAGTAGTAAACCCTAATTGGGCTGTACCCCATATGGGCTACCCCACTACAGCCTAGACAATATGCAGCATATATGTTTGACACAGTAGACAGTAGGCGTAACAGTCACGGGCACAGTCAGAGGCTCATTCGTGGGGTAGCGGTAGGTGGGCCCGAAAAAAAAAAACGGTCCTACGGACCTACTGCTCTGAAACCATGTTAGAATCTAGAGACAGGAATGCGTGAACTAGAAGCATGCAGGAGTACAAGTAGTAAACCCTAATTGGGTTGTACCCCATATGGGCTACCCCACTACATCCTAGACAATATGCAGCATACATGTTTGACATTTAAAAGCATGAACAATTTGGGCCGCCGGCTTTAAGATATATTCAAGAGTGATTTCTATCCACTATTTGAGGCACTCACTTGAACACACGTTCAAATTGGTGCCCCAAAGAGTGCCTGAAAATCACTCTCGAAATGATATCCCCAAAACGTGAAACCAAATATATAGGGTTGCTAAGCAACCCAAAAATGAAAAGGCTCTTATTTTTGGAAAATGATAGCACTTAATTCTGCTTCGCCTATAATCGAATCTTGATTTCCGAACGAATCAGTGGATATCAAATTTTTTTCTCTCACTCTCCCCAACCCGCCTTTCCCTGCACGCTTCCTCTCCCTAGGGAGCAAGCCATCGCGGCTCTCCCTCCATTCCGTCAGCTGTCTCGGTTTCCCTTCGCTCTGTCGATCGCTTACGGGGTGGCCCTTCAGGCGCCTAACGACGTCTATCGTTTCGACGGACACCAGTGTTCACGGGATCTATAACGAGCTTGTGTCTGTGTTCAGCCGCCTCCACGCAAGCGTTTTTCTGTTATACGTATTTCGGTTACCAACCGCCATGTTATGTCGACGTTGAAAACTTGGCAGCGAATCTTCATCTAAAGCATTGACTGAGCCGCGCAGTTAGCACTTTATATGAGCGCGGCACTTAGCGCCGCGGACATTCTTTGAGCGACACTTAGCCGCATCTGCCCAAGCCTGGCATGGCACAGCGCAGCACGGCGGCGGGCGTGACGTTTTCGCTGATCGACGAGGACCACACCATCGGGAACTCCGTGCGCTTCATTCTCAACCAAGAGTGCGTGTCGCCTGCTTTTAGACACGTGCCGCCTGCTTCTAGACACGTGCCGCCTGCTTCTAGGCACGTGTCGCCTGCTTCTTGGCACGTGTCGCCTGCTTCTTGGCACGTGTCGCCTGCTTCTAGACACGCGTTGTCTAGGCACGCGTTCTCCTGCGTGTTTTAGCCCGGTGAAGATCGTAGATATGCTGACCTGCAGAAAGCCTTACACCCTGAACCCTAGTGAACACCCCTCTTCCACCCCGACCCCTACTCGCTCTCTCCCCCCCTTTCCTCTCCCCCCCTCTCCCCCCCTCCTCTCTCTAGGAAAAGCCCTCCACCCCAAACCCTGAGGAAAGTTCTCGACCTAAACAAACTACCTCCCACCTCCCACCTCCACCCCACTCTGCCCCCTCCCCTTTCCCTCTCAACCGTTCCCCTCCCCCACTCCCCCTCCTCCCCCTCTCTCCCCCTTCCGCATCCTCGTCCCCTATCCCCGTTACAAGCAGTCCTCGTGTGAGTTTCTGCGGCTACTCGGTGCCACACCCGTCCGACAATAAAGTTAACATCCGCGTGCAAACAACAGGTCGGTGCGAATCTCAGGTGACAAAGGGAGGGATTTCAGGAGCTCATGTGACGGTGGACTCGAGATTGCATGCGAAGAGAGTCGTATGCCTTTAAACTCATGTCCCCATTCTCTCACGTGATTACTGCTTCATCCACTTCCCATTTACCCTTAACTTCCGTATCCTGTCATGTTCTTTCCGTTTCTGCAAACACATCCCTATCCCTGCACACACATCCCTATCCTCGCACACACATCCCTATCCCCGCGCACACACATCCCTATCCCCGCATACGCATCCCTGTGCCCCAATACCCACCCCTGCTGCCCCTTGCACATGCTCCAGCAAGGCAGGTGCTCAAGCTCGGGCTGCTGGAACTGGCGGGCTTCTGAGAGCACGTGACACGCGCATGCACACCCATCGTACCCATCTGAACCACTTATTCAGACACTTTTTCTCTCCCACACCCCCTCTCTCTGCAGGTGACCCGGCAAGGGAGGTGCTCAAGGACGGGCTGGTGGAACTGGCTGGTTTCTGTGAGCACGTGACACGCACGTTTGAAGCCGCCTTTGACAAGTTTGAGAAGCGACAGCGAGGCGAAGCAGTGGAGGAAGAGGAGGAAGAGGAAGAGGAAGAGGACGATGAAGACATGCAGGATGCATCTTGATTGAGAAGTTTGACGCAGTAGCAAACAATGAGGATATGGTAGATGCAAATGGTAGTGCATGTTTACTGGGTAGCAAGTGGTGATGCTGTATGCAACAGCATGCCAGTGGTGGATACACCCATACAAGTATCGTAGGCGTCGCATGTGATCTTTAGGCATACAAGAAAAAAAGAAAGGACACTTAATACCGTATCTGCGATGATGAACCAGAGTAATATCCCTGAGGGCAAACCGGTTTGTCATGTTTCTGTACTCTTCCTTCACAATGTATGTAAGCGATTCTGAAAAACAGTAAACCCACGTTTGTCATGACAGGTCGAGTGGGTTTGCGTAACAAAAAACCATAAAGAGTCCGCAATGGAGTGGCATGGCAAAATAGGTCAATGATGGATGAAACCACCAACCTGCAGAAAGCAAAGGTGGAAAATGGGGGTTTGGTTTGGTACAGACCACAAGCAGCTTACAAGAAAGGGGTCATGGGAACAAATTCACAAGATGGAGGAGGAGAGTAGGGGGAAATGGCTGAGAGAGTGTGAGCGAAGGGGAGATAGAGAGAGAGAGAAAGAGGAGAGAGGATGAGGGATAGAGAGAGAGAGAGGAACCCCTGTAATTTTGGCATGTACTGACCATGACGCCACGCTGTGTGATTCGGTTTCTTGCAATGAAGTGCAGCACGCTGGAAGCGAACTCCAAGCTCTCGTCCTCCTGCACACACACGTGCACCCACAGCACCACCACAGCAGCACCACAGCAGCACCCACAGCCCACCACAGCAGCACCACAGCAGCACCCACAGCAGCACCACAGCAGCACCACAGCAGCACCACAGCAGCACCCACAGCAGCACCACAGCAGCACCACAGCAGCACCACAGCAGCACCCACAGCAGCACCACAGCAGCACCACAGCAGCACCACAGCAGCACCCACAGCAGCACCACAGCAGCACCACAGCAGCACCCACAGCAGCACCACAGCTTGTGTTGGGTCAGAGAGTACAGAAGCAACAAGGGGAAGAAAGAGCGCACTGCACCACAAGTGGATGGCGCCTCACCTGGATGGCCTCACCTGCATGGCGCCAGCGCCTCACCTGGATGGCCTCACCTGGATGGCGTGGCCTGAGTGGCGGACAACGAGCATTTGGAAGCGGCCCTGCATCTGAGCGATGGTCAGCGGCCTGCCATGGTTGCTCGCCGTGCAGCACATGTGCAGTGAGGCAGGGCGACATGGGAGTGAGACAGGAGGGGAGAGCAGGGAGTGAGGCAGGATTTGGGAGCAGGGAGTGAAATGGGGAGGACGGAATAAATGCAAGAGCCAACATTGGCTCTTGCAGAGGGCGGCCAACATTGTGGAGCAAGAGCCAACACCGCCTTGCCCAACTAGCTGAACTCCCTTGACTCTCGACTCCCCTGACTCCCCTGACTCCCCTGACTCCCCTGACTCCCCTGACTCCCCTGACTCCCCTGACTCCCCTGACTCCCCTGACTCCCCTGACTCCCCTGACTCCCCTGACTCCCCTGACTCCCCTGACTCCCCTGACTCCCCTGACTCCCCTGTCTCCCCTGACTCCCCTGACTCCCCTGACTCCCCTGACTCCCCTGACTCCCCTGACTCCCCTGACTCCCCTGACTCCCCTGACTCCCCTGACTCCCCTGACTCCCCTGACTCCCCTGACTCCCCTGACTCCCCTGACTCCCCTGACTCCCCTGACTCCCCTGACTCCCCTGACTCCCCTGACTCCCCTGACTCCCCTGACTCCCCTGACTCCCCTGACTCCCCTGACTCCCCTGACTCCCCTGACTCCCCTGACTCCCCTGACTCCCCTGACTCCCCTGACTCCCCTGACTCCCCTGACTCCCCTGACTCCCCTGACTCCCCTGACTCCCCTGACTCCCCTGACTCCCCTGACTCCCCTGACTCCCCTGACTCCCCTGACTCCCCTGACTCCCCTGACTCCCCTGACTCCCCTGACTCCCCTGACTCCCCTGACTCCCCTGACTCCCCTGACTCCCCTGACTCCCCTGACTCCCCTGACTCCCCTGACTCCCCTGACTCCCCTGACTCCCCTGACTCCCCTGACTCCCCTGACTCCCCTGACTCCCCTGACTCCCCTGACTCCCCTGACTCCCCTGACTCCCCTGACTCCCCTGACTCCCCTGACTCCCCTGACTCCCCTGACTCCCCTGACTCCCCTGACTCCCCTGACTCCCCTGACTCCCCTGACTCCCCTGACTCCCCTGACTCCCCTGACTCCCCTGACTCCCCTGACTCCCCTGACTCCCCTGACTCCCCTGACTCCCCTGACTCCCCTGACTCCCCTGACTCCCCTGACTCCCCTGACTCCCCTGACTCCCCTGACTCCCCTGTCGGAATTCTCGCTGTCACCTCCTCCTGTCCCTTCTCCCTTACTGCCCTCTCCCTCTCATCTCCGCTTCCTTCTTGTTCCTGCTCCCCTGTTCCCTCCTTTATACTCAGCCACTACCTGCCCCCTCCTGTGCTCGTGCTCGAGCTGCTCGGGCCCGAGTCACAGGACTTCCAGGCTGAGTCGGCTGCTCTGCCGCACTGCCGGTTGGGTCTGGTGGCCCACGCTCTGTTCTCTTCTTTTCTTCGCCAGCTCCCGTAATCCCAATCCCCTCAGCTGCTTCGTCTTCTGCCTCGTCATGCTTGGCAGCATTTCCAAAGTGGTTTTCTTCATCCTCTGCAGGTAAGCTTCCTATCCCACTTCCCCCGCTGCCTTTGTCCTTTATGCCACCCTGCTGCAGAGGCTGCTCGTGCCTAGCCACTGTCTCTGTCAGCACCTGGGCTGCTTGCGGCATCGGCTCCTCTTCCCAAGTTTCTCCCTTAATCCACCTCACCGTCTGCAGGGCCTCTTTTCCTTCCTGCCTCATCTCATCTCCAACTGTCTGCTCCACTGCTTCCCTTGCTGGCAGGCACTCTCTTGCCCCCAATTCTTTGCTCTCCCTCTCTGTTTCCTCCCGCTCCTGGGCCGTGTCCCACACTGGACCCTCCCACCCTGCTATCCTTAGTTCCCCTTGCCACCAGTTGCTCGTCATTTCAGCTGATACACCTGCCCTGACCCTCATCTCTTCGTTCTTCCCTTCAGCTTCAGCTGCTGCTGGTGCACCCGCCCGTGCCCCCAACTCTTCATTCTTCCCTACTGCTTCTGCCACTTCTGGTTTGCACGACATTACCCCCATCTTCTCTTCCTTCCCTTCCTCTACCGCTGTTGCTGGTGTGCATGCCTGTACCCCCACCTTCTCGTTCTTCCCTTCTGCTTCCGTCGCTGCAGGTACACATACCCCTGCCCCCACCTTCTCCTTGCCTTCCGTATCCGCTACTGCTGGTACACGTACCCCTGCCCCCACCTTCTCTTCTTTCCCTTCCTCTTCCGCTGCTGTTGCTGCACACCCCTGTGCCTCTACCCCTTCATCCTCCACTTCCGCTTCCGCTGCTGCTGCTACGCACACCTGTGCTCTCACCTTCTCTTCCCTCCCTTCCGCTACTGCTACTTCTGGTTTGCACGCCTGTGTCCTCACCTTCTCTGCCTTGCTTTCCGCCTCCGCTACTGCTGGCATGCCCGCCGGTGGCCCCACCTTCCCTTCCTTCCCTTTCACATCCGCTACCACTAGTACACCCGACCATTCCCCCACCTTCTCGTTCTTCCCTTCCTCTTCCGCCGCTGTTAATACACACACTTCTGCCCCCACCTTCTCGTCCTTCTCCTCCGCTCCCGCTGCTGCTGATACGCACGCTTCTGTCCCCACCTGCTCGTCCCGTTCCTCCGCTCCCCCTGCTGCTGATACACCCGTTTTTGCCACAATTTGCTCGTCCTGCTCCTCCATTGCTGATGTTACTTGCACACACGTCCATGCTCCTACCTTATTTACTTGCTCTCTTCGTCCCTCCCTGCCCCCACTGCGCGGCCCCTTGACTACATGGCTACGCAGTACCGTACAGGAGTACCCTGGCTCTTGCTCCTCATCTTCCTGCTCCTCTTCCTCCCCCGCGTACAACCCCACCTCCCTTTCTGTCCTTCCTCTCAGCGCCTGCAGTAGAGCTTGTAACTTTTCAATCTGGTCCTTAATCTCCTCTGGTGATCTCTCTGCCCGCCCTGTTTTCTCATACCACTCCTTTGCCTTATGCCCCTTGTTCCCCCACTCGTCACAGGTTGGTGTATCCGGGCAGTCCTTCCGGCGGTGCCCAGGCTTTCCGCACACTTCACAGTTCTTGCAGTTTCTCCGTATATGCCCTGTCTGCCCGCATCTGTGGCACGTTCGTGTCTCTGGTCGCCACTCCTGCCGTTGCTCCTCCCTGTCCCCGTCCTCAGGTATCATCGCTGTAGCCCACGTGGGCTGCCTCTTCTCTGAGACCCTTGGCAGGTATGCCTCGTATCGCCTCTGCGCCAGCTCCACCCTCTCCGCAAGCTCGAACACCTCTTCTAGTGTAGCGTCTGCCCCCAACTCATACACTCGCATACGCAACCCACTACTCAGCCCTTCATCCAGGCCTCCCAAGAACTTACTTATCAACATGCTACTGTCCGTGCACACCATGTCCTCTGCTAGATTAGTGAGCCTTCCATAATAGGTGAGTAGCGATTCCGTCTTCCCCCGCCTGAATTCCTGAAATTCTCTAATTCTCTCTGCCGTGTGCCCTGGAAACTGCCTCCGCAGCCGCTCCAAGAATAGAGTGGTTGGGTCTTCATCATCCTCCTCTGCCCTCCTCAGCCATTCCTTCATCTTCATACGATATAGCGTCTCAGCTTCACCGCCTAGCGTGTTTGGTAGGCTCAAGAAAAACTCTATCGGGTCCATCCCGCTTCTGTCGCAGCGGTACTTCACATTGCCGATTTGCATCAGGTAATTCTTCAGGTTTGTCTCCGCTCCCGCCTCCCCTGTAAAGCGCACTGGCACCTCCACCCGTGGTGGGTCTACCCCGTTCCATCTCCTTGTCCCCCATGTTCCTGATCCTCCCCATCCTGTCCTGCTGCCTTCCCCTACCCACTCCCTTACTCCCCTGTTTCGTGCTCCTGTCCTGTACAACACACGCTCGATGCCTTCTCTTGCTGCCCTTGCTTCCCTAGAGCCCTCCCATGGTGACCTGTCATGCCGCTCTGGGCCCAAGCTCCTTCTTCCCTCCTCTCTCTCATCCATCTTTCTCCGGCCCTCCTGCCTGCTCCTCTGCTCCTCCCTCCTTTCGGATGAATATTCTTCCCAGTGCCCCTCCCTTCGGCCCGACCCATGGCGCGCAAGTTTGCCACCCCCTTCTTCCTCGCTGTCCGTATCGTACTCGAGCGCCATCTCCCGTAGCCTACGCCGCTCCTCAGCCCTCCTTCTCTGCCCTTCCTTTTTCTGACCCTCCCATACCTCTATGTCAGCTTCCCTCTGCTCCTCGTGCCTTCCCTTGTTCTTCTCTCTTCCCTTATGGGATAATTCCTTCTTACCCCGCTCTTTCTCATTGTGTTGGCACCGATCCAGACCATACTCATACTCCTCTTCGCTCTCTGTCCTCCTTTCAGGCGACCTCTCCCTCCTTCTGTAGTGCTCCTCATCTCTCCTTTTCGTCTTCCCCTTCCCTTCATTCCTCCCAGGGATATCTTCTTCACAACGTCTCCCTCGCCCGCCTGCTTCTTGGCGCCCATGATCCTCTCTTCCCCTTCCTTTGTCACTTCCCGGGTCCTCCCCTGTGAACACCTCTCGCAGGCAGCGCTCTTCTTCACCCCTTCTCCTGTTTCTCTCTCTCTCCTGCCTCCTCCTTGCCTCTCCGACAGGTTCCTGCACCAACCCTGCTCCCGCGCACGGATACTCTTCTATTTCTTCTCGGCGCGCTCTCGCATCCGCACCCGTGGCGTACTGCGAACACTCACTGCCCTTAACACGCGCTTCCCTCTCCTCCGTCCGCTGCCGTGCAGGCGAGCACTGCGCGCGCCTCCTATCGCGATCGTCCTCACTTTCCTCTCCCCCCTGCTCTGGTGATCGCCATCCGCCCAACGCCATGCGCCTCCTGCGCTCATGTCCGCGTCTCGGCTCAGGCGAGCCATACATCCCCGCCTGCACGTCTCGCCTCCTCTCTTCCTCACGGCTGGCTTCTGGCGCGCGCTTAGCCTCCTTGCCTTCGCCGTGCCTTGCATCACTTCTGCGCAGCCTGCCTGGCGAGCGATTTGCACCTGCGCCCCCGCGGCGCCTCGCATCTCTCTCAGGCATTACGCCCGCCGAACCGCCCGCATCCGCGCTCCCATGGCGCCTTGCTCCATTCCCGCGCATTTCGCCCGTCGAACCTGCTGCAACCGCGCTTCCGCGGCGCCTCGCGTCATTCTCAGGCATTTCGCCCGCCAAACCGCCCGCATCCGCGCTCCCATGGCGCCTCGCTCCATTCCCGCGCATTTCACCCGTCGAACCTGCTGCTATCGCGCTTCCGTGGCGCCTCGCATCATTCCCGCGCATTTCACCCGTCGAACCAGCTGCACCCGCGCTCTCGCGGCGCCTCGAGCCATTCCCGCGCATTTCGCCAGCAGAACGATCCGCATCCGCGCTCCCGCGGTGCCTCTCGCCACTCCCGCGCATTTCGCCAGCAGAGCGATCGCTCCCGCGGCGACCTGCGCTACTCCCACGCACTTCGTCTGTTGAGCGGCTTGATCCCGTCGCCTTTCCGCGATCTTCGCGTTTCTCTCCACGGCGACTTTCGCCTCCCTCGCGCATGTCGTCCGGCGAGCAATCTGCTCCCGCGTACTTTGGATCATCCTCCTCGCCGTCGGCCTCGTTTGCCAACATCAGCGAGCCCGTTCCGTCGGCATCCTCATGATGCCCTTCACCCGCGCCCCGCTGGCCTTTTGCCAGATCCCAGGGACCGCTTCTCGACGGCTGAGGTCTCGTCGCCAATCTCATCTGCAGATCGGTCTCGCCTCCATCGCGCCGTCCGTCACCAGCTGCCATCCGATCCGCCCGATCCGCCTCTCTCTTAGGCGAGCGACCTGGCGATCGTTCCCGCTCCTGTGAGCGCATCCGTCGCGACGGCGGAATTTCCCGACGCGAATACGTTCGCTGCCAGCGAAGCTCGTGGCAGTCCATGCTGCCAATACCCTTCTCTCGTTTGTGAGAGATCCGGCTCCCACACGCTGGTTGCCCACAGTGGCGCAGTCACCTAGCTTAGATAGCTTTAGAACGGTAACACTAGACCACTATATGAGACAAACAAACGAGAGAACAGCTTGGTATGTCCTAGCCTAGGCTACTTATTGCCCTGTCCCGAGTCGTGAGTGTCCTCGACAAACTGGGTTGGCTTCGAGTCGCCCTGCCCTTGGATTGGCCACTGCAAATTCCCTGTCCCTCGAGGCCCTTGAGCTCTCCCCGCTGTACTTCGCAATTCCCACTACTACCAACTTCCCGTCACTCCCTTGAAACCCAACAACCCCTTTGGTAATATTACATGACACAGTTCTACACCCTTCTACACCCAACTAGCAAGACACTGAATGTGTTGAATATATCAATAGATTCTGTGACACCCCTGACTCCCCTGACTCCCCTGACTCACTCCCCTGACTCCCCTGACTCACTCCCCTGACTCCCCTGACTCACTCCCCTGACTCCCCTGACTCACTCCCCTGACTCCCCTGACTCCCCTGACTCCCCTGACTCCCCTGACTCCCCTGACTCCCCTGACTCCCCTGACTCCCCTGACTCCCCTGACTCACTCCCCTGACTCCCCTGACTCACTCCCCTGACTCCCCTGACTCACTCCCCTGACTCCCCTGACTCACTCCCCTGACTCCCCTGACTCCCCTGACTCCCCTGACTCCCCTGACTCCCCTGACTCCCCTGACTCCCCTGACTCCCCTGACTCCCCTGACTCCCCTGACTCCCCTGACTCCCCTGACTCCCCTGACTCCCCTGACTCCCCTGACTCCCCTGACTCCCCTGACTCCCCTGACTCCCCTGACTCCCCTGACTCCCCTGACTCCCCTGACTCCCCTGACTCCCCTGACTCCCCTGACTCCCTTGACTACCCTTGACTCTCTTGAATCCCTTGACTCCCCTGACGCCATGCCCTGATGCCATGCCCTGGTGCGATGAGAGCTTGGCTCACTTGTCGAGGCGGTCGGTGCCGGCGAGCAGCAGCAGCTTGGGCACGGGGCAGCGCAGAAAGAGGTCCGACAGACCCGCGTACCTGCAGGGCACAGGGACGCATGCACATGCATGCACACACATGTACGCACACACGTGCACGCACACACATGCACGCACACACGTGCACGCACACACATGCACGCACACACATGCACGCACACACATGCACGCACACACATGCACGCACACACACGCACGCACACACACGCACGCACACACACGCACGCACACACATGCATGCACACACATGCATGCACACACATGCATGCATGCACACGTGCACACATGCACATGCATACGCACACATGCACGTGCACACATGCACATGGATACGCACACAAGCACATGCACACATGCATGGGCACACGCATATGGACATGCACACGTGCACGCACATGGTTGAATGCACTTGCACGCATGCATATGGTTCACTTCGCACAGCAGCGCACACATGGGGTTGCTGGCACACAACTGCGACGAGAAAGGCGGGTGAGAGATGACATCCAATCCAACCATGCCGCACTCTGCTTACTCTTCACAACCAATCCCACGCCCCTAAAAAGCTTCAACAGTTTTTTCCCATCCCAAGCATGCAAATCGACATCCCAAGCATGCCACTTTGCGAGCAGTGCAAAATGCATGCTCAGCAGGCAGCAAGAAACAGACAGCATGCACGCATGTGTGTGCGCGCGTGTGCACGCATGTATGTGCACATATGTATGCGCACGCATGTGTGTGCACATATGTATGCGCACGCATGTGTGTGCACGTATGTATGCGCAAGCATGTGTGTGCACGTATGTGTGTGCATGCATGCACGCACCATCCCTTCCAGAAGGGCTGAGATTTCTCCAGGGGGGTACGCCACACAAACCTGCAGGTGGAGGAAAGGGTGTGAGAGAGGGAATGGGAGAGAGTGGGAGTGGGTGAGAGTGGGAGTGGACGAGAGATCGGGAAACGGATGAGAGAGTGGGAATGGAAGAGAGGGAGGAGAAGGGACAGTAGAACCTGGCATTCAAGGGGTCGAGAACGGTATAGAACGCAACTTACCGTGCCTCCCCATGGCTCACCCATGCTCCCCTCGCCCTCATGCCTCCCTATATCGCACCCATGCTTCCTCACGCCTCTGCCTTTCCCCTCCTGTGTGCTGCTCGACCCTTCCTGTCTGTTCACTACTCAACTCACCCCTTCCCTGTGGCGTCTGTTCGCTACTCACCCCTTCCCTGTGGCGTCTGTTCGCTACTCACCCCTTCCCTGTGGCGTCTGTTCGCTACTCACCCCTTCCCTGTGGCGTCTGTTCGCTACTCACCCCTTCCCTGTGGCGTCTGTTCGCTACTCACCCCTTCCCTGTGGCGTCTGTTCGCTACTCACCCCTTCCCTGTGGCGTCTGTTCGCTACTCACCCCTTCCCTGTGGCGTCTGTTCGCTACTCACCCCTTCCCTGTGGCGTCTGTTCGCTACTCACCCCTTCCCTGTGGCGTCTGTTCGCTACTCACCCCTTCCCTGTGGCGTCTGTTCGCTACTCACCCCTTCCCTGTGGCGTCTGTTCGCTACTCACCCCTTCCCTGTGGCGTCTGTTCGCTACTCACCCCTTCCCTGTGGCGTCTGTTCGCTACTCACCCCTTCCCTGTGGCGTCTGTTCGCTACTCACCCCTTCCCTGTGGCGTCTGTTCGCTACTCACCCCTTCCCTGTGGCGTCTGTTCGCTACTCACCCCTTCCCTGTGGCGTCTGTTCGCTACTCACCCCTTCCCTGTGGCGTCTGTTCGCTACTCACCCTTCCCTGTGGCGTCTGTTCGCTACTCACCCCTTCCCTGTGGCGTCTGTTCGCTACTCACCCCTTCCCTGTGGCGTCTGTTCGCTACTCACCCCTTCCCTGTGGCGTCTGTTCGCTACTCACCCCTTCCCTGTGGCGTCTGTTCGCTACTCACCCCTTCCCTGTGGCGTCTGTTCGCTACTCACCCCTTCCCTGTGGCGTCTGTTCGCTACTCACCCCTTCCCTGTGGCGTCTGTTCGCTACTCACCCCTTCCCTGTGGCGTCTGTTCGCTACTCACCCCTTCCCTGTGGCGTCTGTTCGCTACTCACCCCTTCCCTGTGGCGTCTGTTCGCTACTCACCCCTTCCCTGTGGCGTCTGTTCGCTACTCACCCCTTCCCTGTGGCGTCTGTTCGCTACTCACCCCTTCCCTGTGGCGTCTGTTCGCTACTCACCCCTTCCCTGTGGCGTCTGTTCGCTACTCACCCCTTCCCTGTGGCGTCTGTTCGCTACTCACCCCTTCCCTGTGGCGTCTGTTCGCTACTCACCCCTTCCCTGTGGCGTCTGTTCGCTACTCACCCCTTCCCTGTGGCGTCTGTTCGCTACTCACCCCTTCCCTGTGGCGTCTGTTCGCTACTCACCCCTTCCCTGTGGCGTCTGTTCGCTACTCACCCCTTCCCTGTGGCGTCTGTTCGCTACTCACCCCTTCCCTGTGGCGTCTGTTCGCTACTCACCCCTTCCCTGTGGCGTCTGTTCGCTACTCACCCCTTCCCTGTGGCGTCTGTTCGCTACTCACCCCTTCCCTGTGGCGTCTGTTCGCTACTCACCCCTTCCCTGTGGCGTCTGTTCGCTACTCACCCCTTCCCTGTGGCGTCTGTTCGCTACTCACCCCTTCCCTGTGGCGTCTGTTCGCTACTCACCCCTTCCCTGTGGCGTCTGTTCACTACTCACCCCTTCCCTGTGGCGTCTGTTCGCTACTCACCCCTTCCCTGTGGCGTCTGTTCGCTACTCACCCCTTCCCTGTGGCGTCTGTTCGCTACTCACCCCTTCCCCGTGGCGTCTGTTCGCTACTCACCCCTTCCCCGTGGCGTCTGTTCGCTACTCACCCCTTCCCTGTGGCGTCTGTTCGCTACTCACCCCTTCCCCGTGGCGTCTGTTCGCTACTCACCCCTTCCCTGTGGCGTCTGTTCGCTACTCACCCCTTCCCTGTGGCGTCTGTTCGCTACTCACCCCTTCCCTGTGGCGTCTGTTCGCTACTCACCCCTTCCCTGTGGCGTCTGTTCGCTACTCACCCCTTCCCTGTGGCGTCTGTTCACTACTCACCCCTTCCCTGTGGCGTCTGTTCGCTACTCACCCCTTCCCTGTGGCGTCTGTTCGCTACTCACCCCTTCCCTGTGGCGTCTGTTCGCTACTCACCCCTTCCCTGTGGCGTCTGTTCGCTACTCACCCCTTCCCCGTGGCGTCTGTTCGCTACTCACCCCTTCCCTGTGGCGTCTGTTCGCTACTCACCCCTTCCCCGTGGCGTCTGTTCGCTACTCACCCCTTCCCTGTGGCGTCTGTTCGCTACTCACCCCTTCCCTGTGGCGTCTGTTCGCTACTCACCCCTTCCCTGTGGCGTCTGTTCGCTACTCACCCCTTCCCCGTGGCGTCTGTTCGCTACTCACCCCTTCCCCGTGGCGTCTGTTCGCTACTCACCCCTTCCCCGTGGCGTCTGTTCGCTACTCACCCCTTCCCCGTGGCGTCTGTTCGCTACTCACCCCTTCCCTGTGGCGTCTGTTCGCTACTCACCCCTTCCCTGTGGCGTCTGTTCGCTACTCACCCCTTCCCTGTGGCGTCTGTTCGCTACTCACCCCTTCCCTGTGGCGTCTGTTCGCTACTCACCCCTTCCCTGTGGCGTCTGTTCGCTACTCACCCCTTCCCTGGGGCGTCTGTTCGCTACTCACCCCTTCCCTGTGGCGTCTGTTCGCTACTCACCCCTTCCCTGTGGCGTCTGTTCGCTACTCACCCCTTCCCCGTGGCGTCTGTTCGCTACTCACCCCTTCCCCGTGGCGTCTGTTCGCTACTCACCCCTTCCCTGTGGCGTCTGTTCGCTACTCACCCCTTCCCTGTGGCGTCTGTTCGCTACTCACCCTTCCCTGTGGCGTCTGTTCGCTACTCACCCCTTCCCTGTGGCGTCTGTTCGCTACTCACCCCTTCCCCGTGGCGTCTGTTCGCTACTCACCCCTTCCCCGTGGCGTCTGTTCGCTACTCACCCCTTCCCCGTGGCGTCTGTTCGCTACTCACCCCTTCCCCGTGGCGTCTGTTCGCTACTCACCCCTTCCCCGTGGCGTCTGTTCGCTACTCACCCCTTCCCCGTGGCGTCTGTTCGCTACTCACCCCTTCCCTGTGGCGTCTGTTCGCTACTCACCCCTTCCCTGTGGCGTCTGTTCGCTACTCACCCCTTCCCTGTGGCGTCTGTTCGCTACTCACCCCTTCCCTGTGGCGTCTGTTCGCTACTCACCCCTTCCCTGTGGCGTCTGTTCGCTACTCACCCCTTCCCTGTGGCGTCTGTTCGCTACTCACCCCTTCCCTGTGGCGTCTGTTCGCTACTCACCCCTTCCCTGTGGCGTCTGTTCGCTACTCACCCCTTCCCTGTGGCGTCTGTTCGCTACTCACCCCTTCCCTGTGGCGTCTGTTCGCTACTCACCCCTTCCCTGTGGCGTCTGTTCGCTACTCACCCCTTCCCTGTGGCGTCTGTTCGCTACTCACCCCTTCCCTGTGGCGTCTGTTCGCTACTCACCCCTTCCCTGTGGCGTCTGTTCGCTACTCACCCCTTCCCTGTGGCGTCTGTTCGCTACTCACCCCTTCCCTGTGGCGTCTGTTCGCTACTCACCCCTTCCCTGTGGCGTCTGTTCGCTACTCACCCCTTCCCTGTGGCGTCTGTTCGCTACTCACCCCTTCCCTGTGGCGTCTGTTCGCTACTCACCCCTTCCCTGTGGCGTCTGTTCGCTACTCACCCCTTCCCTGTGGCGTCTGTTCGCTACTCACCCCTTCCCTGTGGCGTCTGTTCGCTACTCACCCCTTCCCTGTGGCGTCTGTTCGCTACTCACCCCTTCCCCGTGGCGTCTGTTCGCTACTCACCCCTTCCCCGTGGCGTCTGTTCGCTACTCACCCCTTCCCCGTGGCGTCTGTTCGCTACTCACCCCTTCCCCGTGGCGTCTGTTCGCTACTCACCCCTTCCCTGTGGCGTCTGTTCGCTACTCACCCCTTCCCTGTGGCGTCTGTTCGCTACTCACCCCTTCCCTGTGGCGTCTGTTCGCTACTCACCCCTTCCCTGTGGCGTCTGTTCGCTACTCACCCCTTCCCCGTGGCGTCTGTTCGCTACTCACCCCTTCCCCGTGGCGTCTGTTCGCTACTCACCCCTTCCCCGTGGCGTCTGTTCGCTACTCACCCCTTCCCTGTGGCGTCTGTTCGCTACTCACCCCTTCCCTGTGGCGTCTGTTCGCTACTCACCCCTTCCCTGTGGCGTCTGTTCGCTACTCACCCCTTCCCTGTGGCGTCTGTTCGCTACTCACCCCTTCCCTGTGGCGTCTGTTCGCTACTCACCCCTTCCCTGTGGCGTCTGTTCGCTACTCACCCCTTCCCTGTGGCGTCTGTTCGCTACTCACCCCTTCCCTGTGGCGTCTGTTCGCTACTCACCCCTTCCCTGTGGCGTCTGTTCGCTACTCACCCCTTCCCTGTGGCGTCTGTTCGCTACTCACCCCTTCCCTGTGGCGTCTGTTCGCTACTCACCCCTTCCCTGTGGCGTCTGTTCGCTACTCACCCCTTCCCTGTGGCGTCTGTTCGCTACTCACCCCTTCCCTGTGGCGTCTGTTCGCTACTCACCCCTTCCCTGTGGCGTCTGTTCGCTACTCACCCCTTCCCTGTGGCGTCTGTTCGCTACTCACCCCTTCCCCGTGGCGTCTGTTCGCTACTCACCCCTTCCCCGTGGCGTCTGTTCGCTACTCACCCCTTCCCCGTGGCGTCTGTTCGCTACTCACCCCTTCCCCGTGGCGTCTGTTCGCTACTCACCCCTTCCCTGTGGCGTCTGTTCGCTACTCACCCCTTCCCTGTGGCGTCTGTTCGCTACTCACCCCTTCCCTG